TTTCAAAAAAAAAAAAAGTAGGGGTTGATGCTTAATAGTGTAATCAAAGCTAAGCTAACGACCTACTGCCATTTAAATGCCACATGAATGACACACAAAGAAACAAAAGTCCTACTAGTTATTTAACTAAAAAATATTTTATTTTATAATTCTTAAAACTTGGATTAAATTTTAAAAAGTAAGAAGTGAAAATTTAATTAAAATTTACCTAAAATAAATTGAGATTTTGAGATTAATTAAAGTGTTCCAATATATTAGAATAATATTTTTAACAATGGTTTCTAAAGTAAATTAAGATATTTAAAATATGACAAATTAATTAAAAGTTAATATAAACAAAATTTAAAATTCATATTTTCAATAAATAAATTAATAATTTTTTTAAAAAAATCTATTAAAAAGTTTAAAGAAATATAAAATATTTTAAAAAAATTAAAATTTAGGGACTAAATGAATAAAAATATGATTAAAAAAAAAAAAAAAAAAAAGTTGGGGGAGATGTGGATTCACCAATAGGGTAGATTTGAGAGCAAAGAGAGGTTGGACCCTTAGGCTGTTGTGGTGCTACCAAAAAGAAAAACACATGCTAATCATTACGTTTTAAGAACTTATTTTATTTTTGTGCCTTCTTCTCTTCCCATCAAGTGGCTTCAATAATATCATTCATTATCTATAATTCATTATTGCCCGAGAAAATTTAAAATATTTATAATTCACATACGTAATTTCATATTTTTAAACTTATTATTATTATTATTATAATAAAAGAAAGCGATATAATACATCGACTTAAGCATTTCACTTTTGGTGGTTCAATGTTCTTGAAAGCTTCTCGACATGGTTATCCAAAAAGGAAAAAATCATTAAAAACAGACAACAAATCCAAAAAGTAAAATATATAAATAAGTGAAGCTATGGATTCTTGTATCTTAAGGTTTTTTAATTTATTTTTTCTTTATAGAGATACTCGAGATTCTATTCTTTTATATTTCTATATATAATTCTATATAGACACCAAAATTTGACAATTTGAGGAATTAAGCTTATATGTAGATCGGTCAGTATAGACTTTTCTTTGTTGGCTTTTATGATTATATCAAGCGTTTTCTTTTCAATAAATTTAGACTTCTTTTTGCACTGTTTGAAGGAGTTCATGACCCATCCATCTCCTCCGACTTACGAAGGGACTCGCCTAACCTAAGTACCAAACTTGAAAGATCACAAGCGTTGAGTTTTCCACAAAAGGATATCTTCATACCTCCTAACCTTTTCGAGAGACCGTCCAACCCGACGACCAAATTTGAAATATGACCACCAAAGTCTTAAATCATAAGGTGTTTTCACACAGGGATCTGAACCAAAAACTTGATAAAAAGATATCCTAAAAGCCGTGGCCACCAGGGCCGCCCCATGATTTTGAAAAGAGAATAATATAAGAAAATGGCACCGAATATGAAAAGGATGGAAAGAAGAGTGTAGTGAAAAGAGTAGTAAGAATGGATTGAAAATGGGGAATGCATGAGGCGCAGTGCCCCACAGAAATGGCCATTTGACCGAGAAGATTGTCGTGTAGAGTGGAAAAACAAAGGGACTGCACGTGCAGACGATATTTAGAGGATCAAATTTGATGCAGTGTACATAAAGAAAAGATATAATTGAAGGCCACACATGGCCCAGCAGCTTTAGCTTAACCACAGACATCCATTTCTTCCATTGTGCTCGCACATAGAGAATTCAGTGCATGAACTCGGCTCATAATTCCCATTCCCCAGCTCTCGCTACTCCCTCTACTTTTTCTCTTATCATCCATCCATTCAAACGATATTTGAAAATATTCTTGAACTTCTGTTTGGTAGATCGTGTTTCGAAAGTTTTATTGGAATGTTGTTTGTAATTTGGTTTGAAGGTTTATGATTTGTAGGAGTTACGGGTGCATTTGGCAAGTGTTATGATAAGGAACAGTTTGTACCTATTTCATCGGTTTTCATAAGACTACTGTCTAACACTATCACATTTGGTTGTAAGTCTTCGGTAGATGAACACCCTATTATTCCCTCTAAGTAATCTCTTATTTACAGAGTGAATAAAAGAATGTAATCTCTCCAAGAAGAAAATGTCATTCTCGTAAGTTTTTTTATATCTTCTATCCGATAAAGGTTGCATATATTAATTCTCCCGGTTCAAATGGGTCCATAAACCAACCAAGAACACGACCCAAATTAAACCTATTTAAACTAGATAAAACCAAAACAAAGTTATAATCAAACTAGAGCCAGACCATTCGAGTTAAGTTATAACAGACTTGGCTAAATTATGTGCATAGATGTAAATATATACATACATCTATAACATTATCCCAAAAAATAATTAAAAAGGGAATCTCCTAATTACAAGAAAGGGAACATGAAATCTAGCAGAGTATGACGATGTCTCTACTGCCGAAGCAAGCATGGGCAAAATGCAGATTTTAATGAGACTAACTCTTTTATAATTTCTATGCATTTGATGTGTATACATAAAACAGATTACTTTATATTAATATTTTATCACCTTTCTGCTCCTAACAAACATGCCCCATCATCGAAGTACTAAATTACTCGTGCCTAAATAATGCTAGAAAAGGCAATAATGAATTTTTAAAGAAAATAATAATAATAATAATAATTAAAGAAATTCTATTTCCACATGCAGCATTCCTCGACTAACCAACATTTTTCTAAGCTGAAATCAAGACTCTATTAGAATTATGACAAGGGAGAAATTCGTGGTAGCAAAACACAGAATTTTCTATTATAAATAATTATGTGATTGAAGAAAAAGGAAAAAGGTTATGGTAGTTTTGGTCAAGAAAAGATCATTGTCTAGCATACATAATTTACCAGCCTACAAGACATGGACAAGTTACTTGCCTCATATGGCCAATGATATTTATGTTTCACAGACACCCATCTAAGAATAAAATAAAAACTTGGTTTCATGTCCTTTCAACATATATTTTCAAGATATTTAAATTAGTATTTGGAGTCTTAAAAAGCGACCATTTTAAACCATATTTGTAAAAGTTTTAACATGTAAGTAATTCACCGTGAAAACATTTTAATGCAAATTTATACAGAATTTTAAGATATTTAGTAAATGAAGTATCATGCTAGAATTTCGGTTGAAAACAAAAATGAAATAAAAGATGAAAATGACGGAGTCAAAATAGTCCATTTTTAAAAGTCGATCAAATTGGACATTTTGAAAGTATTAAGAACTTGAAAGTATTAAGAACTAAAATGATCATAAGACCAAAATGAACCAAAGCGAAAAAAGTATAGAGACGAAAGTAGTATTTAAGCCTAAAAACTATCATAATTTTGACAAGTGGGTAGAAAGTACCAAAGTTTAATTATTGATTTCTTTCATTTTCAAAATGGTATATTCAATTTTATGGACTAACTTTCCTAAAGGTGCACTTTTGACTAAGGCTAAAGCAAATTTAAAAACTTATCTAGCAAGAATAAACAGCCAGGTCGTGTCTAGCTTAGAAGCAAAAAAGAGCATTGCTATATACGTCTTCTAAATATCGCTAATACAGCAAGACATTGAAGCCAAGCAAAAATCACTATTTGACAAAGACTAGCTATCTAGTTAGGATAATGATCATCTCTCAGGACATTGACATCATCAATAAGAGAAAGTATAAAAAAGAATTCATTATCAAAGACAATTCTATGAGAATAATGCACATACCTGTTTCTGTCCAGCCAAATTTCCCCCGTTGATTTAGATCTTGAAACCACTGTACAATCTGTTAGGTAAGATAATATTACACTGGCAAGCATTATCGAATAACAAGAGTCCAGGGAACCTTCAAGGTCTATCAGGATGGATGAAGTTCAAAATTGGGATTTTTCAAAGATCAAATTAAGGACATGAGTAATAATTCTGGAAGACAATCACACATCATTCTGCAACTAGTTTAAAGTATAAAGTTCCAGTTCATATAAACTATAAAATGCATAGCGGGTTTGAGTGCCTTTAAAATGATTAAAATCATTTTTGTCGGGTTCAAACCACACTAAATATACTTTTAATCATTCAAAATCAATTTGATGTTTGGTTTCACATCCTAAATGCAATTAAACATCAAAATTAATTTTGAACAAGAAAAAAAAACATATTTTCAAAGTGATTGTTGTACACTATAAATTCAATTCAACATAGTGAACTTGTGAGTGACGATGACAGTTACAGCCAAAGATGCTATCAAGTGGCTTCCACTTTCCTTTACAGCTCTCAAACTCAACACTTGGAGACCGACAATTCTGCTTTGTCCTGATAGAAACTCTTAGTACTCTTAAACACTTAAAAAGTCATTTCAAACGTACCATTAATCTTCTTCACTTGAATTCGAGAAGACCATAGAAATCGAAGAACACCAAAAAAAAATCCGTGTGAAGTTCTTTTCGATATTACAACTATATGGAAACTTTTGTACTACTATCATCTATATTTAGTCACATCACCAATAGTTAAAAAAGAAGAATTTATTAAACTAAATAACAAACAAACAAACAGGGCAAATGGTCTTTTCCTTCTTTTGGTCTTGGTAGTATGATTCCATCGACTATCACTTCAAACTAGACTTATCTAGAAAGGAACTGGACAGTTTGCTTCCTTGTTCTTTAATTCGTTATTATTAGAATATTTTCTAGTAATTCCTGTCTGGCTTTGGTAGCTTTGGTATGTTTTATGTATGGCCTAGTCTTATAATCCTAAAACAAGAACTATGGTACTAGAAGTTTTCCTCAATCCTAAAACAAGATATTGTGTTTCCTCTTTGTTGAAGTAAGTTATCCTAATGTCTCCTTATGGCGACATCCATAGATCTTAGAAATTTTCGCTTGGTGTGATGAGTCGGATCTGTCATCAACCTGCTAGCTGAGGATTTTGAGTCTCCTGATAACTAATCAACACTTGCCGGGTAAGGAAAAGGGACTAAGGGATTTGAAGAATGGAAGAAGGAACTTTAGTGTTCGTACATAAATCTTGAGTCAATACTAAAAGTTACAGATCCCCTTCCCATCACCAGGTACCAACCACTCTCCCTACCTTTTTTATGTGTGTAATTCTGCCTTTCGTAGCCTATTTATATCTGTTCGTGCAATAAACTATGCACTCTACATTCAAAATTGTCAACTCATACTTGGCTCCCATTGACCAACAAAAGACGAACCCAAACAATGAGAATTCCCAAAAGCATCAAATGATAAATTAACTTCAAATCTTCAACCTTGCATAGAAAAAACGCCACTATATTTTCTGCTTCTTGGACAACTTGGTCAAACTCAGCAGCTGCTAAACATTGAAACGAAAGAGCATGACATCCCCTTCCTGCACAATATATTCTTTACCCTCAGCTCTCAACTGCAATAACATAACATGAAAGCTTCAGTGAGTGAGTGAGTGGAGGAAGAGGAACTGCTTTCACTATTCATGGAATTAAAACGCAGAAGCCTTTAAACACTTCCATTAGGATTTTTTTCGAGATGGACTGCTATGTTGTCATTTTACTACGAGTGAACTTCTCAATCAATATGGCTCCTACACAGAACTACTTAAACCTCCTTACAATGTTAATTAAATAAACTTCCTTTTGTTGGTGTGTTCCTTGAGACTTCGCGAACTTTAATGACCAAGCTTTATGTTGTCATCTTTTTTTTATAGTAGAAGCAAAGTGCTTCGGGTGAACGTTAAGCCTTAGTTGGTTTCTTTGCAGTGAATGAAATAGAGCTTCTGAAGGTATAGAGAAGGAGCATAGTGCTCTTTGAGAGTTCCTGACTTTTGCGATTTGTAAATTGAAGGCGCTAAATAAAGCTGTGCAACAATCCTCCATTAATTAAGTATCAAATCAGGGCATTTTTGCAAACTCCATTCGGTACCACTTAGGACGATTTCTTATCTCTTTGTTGGTTTTATGTGTGATCCTTCACTAACATAAAGTTTTCTTTGTTCTTTCTACCAAAATAAATTTTGTGGCACGGGAAAATCAAAATAATGAGAAGTTGAGATCACAAATCACGTGCAATTCTTGTTTTCTTAAAAACCAAGTAAAAATAAAAGGACACATGCAGTTCAACAGGTAAGAATAGGTCAAAATAGATAATAATAATAGTAAGTGCATATACAAACCAGTAAGTAGAAAGGACATAAATGTTCCGCATAAGAATCAAGGCATAAAATTAACTTGCAGTTATTTCCGTAGATAGATTAATTGAAGGGAAAATAGTTAATACAAATTTGTGCTCCACATACCCACACTTTTCTAGTAGGCAACCATCTTCATCAAGAAAAATGGAAGTACAAGAACACAGACACAAAAACGAATAGGGCCTCCGGTCATCAAAAGGAAACAAAAGAGAAGAAAACAACCAAGTCCTAGTTACAAGAAAACATCCCAATTAACAAAAATCATAAAAAGGGGAGCATCCTGAACCCAAATAAACCCTTTTTTTCTCTTTTTTTGTAAGAAACTGAGTTTCATTGAGAAAACGGAAAGAATATATGGGAGTATACAAAATATATATATACACACCAAGACCAAGCTAATAAATTATTATAAAAAAATTGATTAATGAACCCCATAAGGAAGCATTAAACCTCACTCCCTCCCACGTGTCCTCCAAAGACTTCTTAAGCCAAATACTGTCATTTTAAGGGAAAAACTAGCCCAATACACTCATAATTTATTGACAAGGTTTATTCGTATTGGCAATTGATAGGCACGACACAGAATTATCAAAGACTAGATTCTCATTAAAATCAAGAAAAATATATATTTCCTTCATTTACTTCGCATAACTATATCCATCTTAGAAATTTGGCCATTCATAGACACGACACAGAATTATCAGTCATTCTATTTGTAACATTGCATTTCAGCAACTTTTACCTTAACCTATTCCTCCGTCATATGAGAATTGTTTGAGAAACAAGGTGGCCACAAGCTATATCCAGTAGGCTACATCTCCTAAGCTATATGTTAAGCTTGAACTATATTATTAACTGAGCTACTGTCCACAGTAAATACTACATGGACTTGAACTTAGTCGTGCACTTAATTCAAAAGGTTCAGTCAAGTCAAGTAATTTAAGCACTGATCTTGAGTGAAAGATCCTGTACCATAAATATGCCACGTCTTATGCATACCATTTTAGAGTTCAAAACATACAGTAACGAAACTACCAACTTACAAGTCCTTTCTCCCTTGCTGCAGCAAATGAACCCGCAGCAACAAAATCGTCATAAGCCACCTATATAAATCAAAAAAAGAAAAATTCTAAGAAAAGGAAAATCTGAAGACAAAATAAAAGAAGAAAAGAGAAGCACAGAAACATGGATTATCATCACCGAAAATATAGACCATGAGTAATTAAAGATACGAGTAAATCCTTAGGCTTGTTGAACAGGCCTATTGCCAATTGACATTTAGCATTAGTTTGTTCATTTGTTTTCTCTTAAAATATAAAATTCACTGATCTGTATGAAGATAAGGTAACAATGGCATTATTTAATAAGTTGTACAATAAAGCTTGGTATTTCTTTTCAGTAAAGGACAACTTCAAACTCTTACTAGAACATTCCATTTTTCAGAAATTTAGAATTGACAAGAAAAACTTGTTTCAAGAACTTTGTATTTGATAAATTCACAAAACCATACTAGGAAACATTTAGGATGATAACTACTACTTATTCATAACGATAGAAGCATACAACTTTTTTTATTTTTAGTTCAAAGAAGCCTCCAATTTTTCTCCCTCAACTTGCAGAGGGGATTTTGATGGATATACTCAGTTTTATTAGTTTACTTGTTATAAGGGACAAAAGAAAAAGAATATAGATTAGAGGATATACAATAAGACTTTTAATCTCACCGTCTCTGCGCGAATGAACCCTCTCTCAAAGTCCGAGTGAATGACTCCAGCAGCTTGTGGTGCAGTCATTCCTAAATAAAAAATAATATAGATCTAAACAATTGAACACCGAGAGAATTCAAATCATGCATAAACTATAACGCTTAGTTCATAAATCAAAAAATCATGCAAGTGTGGAGCTTCGTTAATCCTAATTGTAACTAAGCTCACACGTAATGAGTATGAAAAACAAGTTAAATGATAAATCCAACTTAACTCATGAACTTTAGCTATTAAAATTAAAATTTTGAGGTTAGTAGCAATTTAACAATTTTTTTTTTTTTTTTTTTTTTTTTTGTATTCTTTCATTGTTCTCCCAATGAAAATTCAGTTTCTCATAATATATACATTATTAGGGCCAAGTATGGAAAATAAATAATAAAAAATCTGATTCGACATAGAGATCAATTAGCATACATCAACATAGGAATTTTCCTTCAGCACCCATAATACACGCATGTTAGGAGAGAAGAATCAGGTCAATGTCAATTAATTTCCTCAAATTAGTAGAACTGAAGCAAACCTGATAGTATGGTCCAGGCTTTTGTTTCCTGTAAAGGCCCCACAAACGATCTCTCAGTTAATATAAAGATTGTATACCAAATACTAAAGTAATTGTCCAAAACCCTACCTTTTCACCCGAAGTAAAATACGTACGGAGTCCCAAAAGGTTATAGGTTGCCCTTATAAGATTTCCCAGGCCACTTTCACTTACACCAAGAGATTTTAAATATTCGACCCTTTCTTCTGACGGAAGTTCAGAAAGCTCAGACTCAACCTGAAAATATGAAGCCCCTCAATTCAGATTTTCATCAGACATTGTCAATGGCTTTTAGTCTATTTCATTTTGCAGAAAATTATTGAGACTTGAGGGAGATATTTTTAGAACACCCAAAAATTTGTCCCAGCCCAACCTGTGCAGAAACTGTCACTATTCCAGATTGCAACTCTGAAGCAAGACTCATAACTTCTTCAACATGAGGATTACTTGCAGGCTCCGCTAGATCAGATTCTGCAACATTGGCCACATATATGACCGGTTTCATTGTGAGCAGGCAAAGATGCTTTATAGCATCCTTTTCAAAATCTGTTAAAGTTACTGATCGGGCTGGTTTCCCATCCATAAGGACCGTCTGAATTTTTTCCAATGCAGATTTCTCGGCTTCTTCCTTGAAGATATAAGGGAAGAGAAAATAAGTTTAAGTAATATGCGTGAACCACGGAAGGGTAAAAAGAAAATACGAAGAGACGGAAGCATTATTAGGAATCATGATGACCTAAGAGGCACATCAACAGAAATGTGGGAGATGGGATCCAAGAAGACACTGATATAGGGACACTATTTGTTAGGAAGGACACAAGAAATGTAACATATCCATGAATTACATCAAATTCTAAAGATAAAAGAATTTTAAATACAAATTCACTGTCATATGGTTATCATAATCTGTATTGCATCTTAATGTAAACTCGTCGTACATTAAGTTATCTTTTCAATAGGGAAGCAAACACTATTAAGAATTTCAAATAACAGTCATTGGACCAGCCTTTGATGTTAAAGTTAGCAACCTTAGTATTTAGTTCCTTTATTGGAGTATTACATTAATGCATACACATCTTGTAGCCACCTACGTCCAATGGAATTTGGCTTAAATGACCCGAAGGTTTGGGTTTGTTAATTTACCATCTTCAAAGTTTTAGCGAGGGTTTGTTACTTTCCATATCAACAGAGCACAACTATTTCTCTTTTATTCCTCTTCTTAAATTTTTCACGAGGCATGGGATTTACCTTTCTCACGGCAATCACTTCAATTCTTCATTTCTTTGCTTCACTAATGTTTTCTATTATGGTCCTGAAATAGTCCACAAAAGACTAAGCCCAAGCAGATAAATGCCTTAAAAAGGCACGTAATTAGTTGGGATGAATTTGATTGTCATTATAAGAACAAGAGCAAGCCTGAGCAAACATTTTAATTTCAACATGAATGCCCCCAAAGCATGCCATCATTTCAGTTCTTGACATATTTGATCTGGGTTCCATCTTGTACTTGAACTGAATTGACATTTTTAATAGCCTCAACTAAAGGGCCTTAGATGCCTGCTATTAATTAGGCTTTGAAATCAAGTAATTTAATTTACACATAACCTTTCTTTCCATTGCCAATGACAATTCTTCTTTGGCCAAAACATTTTAAAATTGAGGTTAGATTTTTACAAACAAATTTAATCATGCTTTGAGAGCAGTCTAATAGTTAATTAAGCACATCAATATAGGAAAGTATAATTTATAGCAACAAGCAGGCTTGTGAGATAAACACACCTTGACTTTAGACTGTGAATCCCTTGCCTTGCCTTTCTTGAGCTTCTCTAATCTTTTCTCAATCTGCATCTCTTTTAAAATGTACAATTTAGTTTTGATCAGATCATCAAAATGACAGAGCAAAGAGACGTCACATTCAATGAAATCCAATGAATTAGTCACACGACATAGATGGCAGAATAGCATGAAACAATTTATGCAAATGAACCACATTGTAAGACAATGTCCCAAGGGTTATCTTTCTCCTCCGCACGTAGCACGTACATTTGTATGCATCCAATATAAACTTCAACAAGAAAAGCAAATATTAAACATTGCTTACTTGATGCACCCAACTTAGGGAATGATCTAAAAAATTATGTTTTTCACTTCTATTTTAAGCTCAAAAGTAGAGACCAAAGCGGCAGCATAACTAATACATAGTTCTTCAATTTTTATAACAATCTCCTTTGACATGGGTATGGAGGTCCCTTACTTCTCTCTTTTCACCAAAAGTAATTTCTTAAGAAAGATACTGGTAATAATAATTTTTGTCATCTCATCAAATCACTAGCACTCAAATTAGACGCCCAACAACCGATGCTCGTTCATCAACGTAGATTGGACGTCCTTTATTTTTTATCCTCCAAACTAGGCTTAGGGACTACTCATCCCTGAGGCCTTTAGGCTGTGTGTTTCTCTTTTGTATCTGTTTCCCATGAAAATAAATAAATAGAATGGAAAAAGTAAAAGGTACTTAAAACAGCTGTATTAACCCAGTCAGAGGACATGCCATCTCTTCTTCAATCGAACACGAGAATTTTTGATTTACAATAATTTTAATCGAGTAATAAAAGCTCTAGCACAATCAGCTCTATGTTATCATAATGAATCATCAAGGAAAGAAGAGATCAAAGAGGGGACAAAATGCAAAACGTCCAAACAGCTTCTAAGACAACTTTTTGTTTTTTTTCTCTGTAGAACTCTAAAGCATGGGATCTCATCAAGTTGCCCCCTTTTCCCATATGAATCTATGATGAATTAAGATTGTTGGGAGAAGAATGCAAAATTTTGCATGATTACAGCCTGCATTCCGAAAGAAGCAAAACTTGCATTGAAATATATTAAAGGTTTCAATGACATTACCTGGTCCAGATCTGAAAAAACAAGCTCTAAGTTAATCACATCGATATCAGTTTTTGGATCAATTTTCCCATTGACATGAACAATGTCATTGTCTTCAAAACAGCGCACAACCTGAAAAAATAATAATAAACTCTCTATTGGCACAAAATGATGTACTGAAAAACGCAAGAAGCACCCAGATTATTCTTAGAGCTTCCACGACATTGCTTAACCTCACTGACATGCAAGCGTCTTGCATAACAGAAACATAATATAAGAGAATGTGTACGCTGAGGTATAGGAAGAAAAGCTTATACAAATTTTACAAAACAAACAAATAATTCAACAAGTTAAAGTATGTTTTTTAAAAAAATGATGTACATTTTCTATCTTAGTTCAAAGTCACGAGACAATTGATATTGCAGAGAAATAACCAGCCAGTTCATCTGTTATGAGGAAAAAACTAAAGGATCAAGTAGAAAAAAAAACCTGAAGTATGGAGTCCACCTCGCGAATATGGGATAAAAATTTATTTCCCAATCCCTGCAGTAGAAAAAATGAAGGAAAATTACTGTTATTATTATTTAATCCTATAATTACCACGACTGAAAGACAAATAAAAAGGAGATTCCAAATGATTGGGATGCATGATGAGAAAGAACAATGAGGTGAGAATAAACATTACCTCTCCTTGACTGGCTCCTTTCACTAACCCAGCAATATCTACAAATTCTATCGATGCTGGGACCGCTCGCTGAGACTTGCTGAGCTCAGAAAGTTTATGGAGACGGGGATCTGGAACTGCAACTACTCCTACATTTGGCTCTATTGTACAGAAAGGAAAGTTGGCAGCTTGGGCCCTGCCATTTTCGACCTACGAAGGTAACATCATAAACAATGGGTGTCATGCGAGATTGATATAAATTTCCTATTCCTAGTAGAACTATAAACTATAAGATGAAGTTATCCAAGCTGCAAGAATAGATAAGTAGTTGGAAGTTAAGTAAGCATTCACAATCAAACACAGAACAGTACAATATTTCTCAGAAACGGCATGATTATCATCAGTACAAGACAAAGTATGATGTAGCTTGCATAAAAAATTGTTAAAACTTATTCTGAATCGACTTTTTCAGTTAAAAAATATTGAAATCCACCACGTTCATCACCCGAGTGAATATTTAAAAGCTATCATGATAAAATCTTGAGGCGTAGCCTAAACATGTGAGTACGCGAATCAACCGCTATTACTGACTAAGGAATTTAGACCAGAGAAATTCGAAAATCCACAGAGAGCAGGGATTTATGAATGGCTACTGTATATAACTACCTACAGTAAAATCCAATAGTTCGCAACTCCTGCTTCAAAAAAATCACAATCCACTGGCTACGACAACAATTCCACATCGGATTCTTCAATGTCCATGGAGTTTTTCCGAAAGTAAACAATCATCTCCATGGCGCTAAATCCAAATAACATCAAATTGAATCATGAGAGACATAGAGAAAACAGCGGAGATTAGCTTACGACGGCATTGAAGAGAGTGGATTTTCCAACATTGGGGAGGCCAACAATTCCGGCTCTGAGGCTCATGCTGATCTTGGAAGAAGAAGAGAAGCGTCGGCCAACCACCATAACACGGTCGAAATGAGAAGCTCTGGAGAAGAGTGAGGGAGTTCCGAAGAAGGAGGATTTGGAGGGGAGAAGAAGAGAAGGAATAATGTGAAAGCAAGCTGTTCTAGCCATGGTTGCCGCCACCCGCTGCAGCTCTCGGACCAAAACCGAACAGACAAACCGATGGCGATGAAGCAAATAGTTATCGCGGGGAATGAAATTGAAAGGTGTAAATTGAGAGATATTCTGCGCCAAGCCAAATGGTTCACATAAGCCCGTTGGGCCTTCATTTTCCCTCCTTTTTTTTTTTTTTCTTTTCTTCCCTTTTTTCTTTAAATATATTTATACTTCAAATAAATTGATTAAAAAAATAAATTAAAATTTATATTTAATTTTAGACTTTCTACGCGTAAAAATTCATAGAGTGTATTTTTTTATTTATATATATAAATCTTTAATAATAATTTCATATTTTTATGACTATTCTTAACTAATTTAATTTATTAGTAATTTTTTAAATATGAATATAGATTTATTGATGGAGTTAAATTAATCACGATAATTAGCGTTTCAATCATTGTAGTCGATAACATATTTAAGCATAGCTAAACTATAAAATTAAATAGTAATATAATTGTAAATAAATTAATATATTTTTATAATTTAACAATCTGGAATAATTCATGTTATATATATAAAATAAAATACACGGTCAACTATATTCAAATTGACTGTATCAAATAGTCATCCTAACTAAAAATAAACATTAAATTAATATTTTTTTATTTTTTTTAACGATATATATTAAATTTTAAGTTTTAAAAAATATATACCAACTTATCAGAGGCAAACTCGAAAGTTTATATTTCTTAAATTGATTAATAATTATTTTAAGAATTAAACGGACCATAGTATCAAACCCATTAAAAAACTATAAACTTATTAAATACATAACCGGGCAGTGTGAGATTCTATATTGGTTGGAGAGAGGAAGTAATATTTTTTTTAGAAGGTTTTGTAAACCTCACCTCAGCAGCTCGAGTTTTAAATTTGTGAGGCTAACGACAAAATATACGAATCAAAGCGGACGATATTTGTTACGTATGAGCTTGAGCTGTTACGAATAATATCATAGTTAGACACCGAGCAGTGTGCTAGCAAGAACGACAGGGATGATATTTGTTACCTATGGACTTGAGCTGTTACAAATAATATCATAGTTAGACACCGAGCAGTGTGCCAACAAGAGCGACAGGGACGATATTTGTTACCTGTGGACTTGAGCTGTTACAAATAATATCATAGTTAGACACCGAGCAGTGTACCAGCAAGAACGACAGGGACGATATTTGTTACCTGTGGGTTTGAGCTGTTACAAATAATATCATAGTTAGATACCGGACAGTGTGCCAGCAAGAACGACAGGGACGATATTTGTTACCTGTGGACTTGAGCTGTTACAACTAATATCATAGTTAAACACCGACCAGTGTGTCAGCAAGAACGACAGGGACAATATTTGTTACCTGTGGGTTTGAGCTGTTACAAATAATATCATAGTTAGACACCGGACAATGTGCTAGCAAAAACGACAGGGACGATATTTGTTACCTGTGGCCTTGAGCTGTTACAACTAATATCATAGTTAAACACCGACCAGTGTGTCAGCAAGAACGACAGGGACACTTGAGCTGTTACAACTAATATCATAGTTAAACACCGACCAGTGTGTCAGCAAGAACGACAGGGACAATATTTGTTACCTGTGGGTTTGAGCTGTTACAAATAGACCAGTGTGTCAGCAAGAACGACAGGGACAATATTTGTTACCTGTGGGTTTGAGCTGTTACAAATAATATCATAGTTAGACACCGGACAATGTGCTAGCAAAAACGACAGGGACGATATTTGTTACTTGTGGCCTTGAGCTGTTACAACTAATATCATAGCTAGACACCGAACATTGTGCCAGCAAGGACGATAGGGACATTCCTTATAAGATTGTAGAAACGTATCTCCACTAAATATGTTTCAAAATTGTGAGGAAAAATATTTATAAACTTATTTTCTAAAACATTAAAAAAAATATATATATAACAAACGAACTTAAATTTATATAGACTAAAATTGTAATTTAATCAACTATTTAAAAAAAAAAAAAAAGGCGCAGTTGTCAGATATTCACAAATTACAGTTAAATCAAATATAAATAGAAAAACAAATGGTTTTAAAAAAAGGAATTTCCAGAACGAACTCCCATTTATATTATGACCTGTGAAAATTAAGACACGAATAAATAAATTTAAAACAGGAAAAAAAAAAGAAAAAAGAAAAAAAGAGCCTTCGTTTTGAATTGTCCCAATGGAATCCCCATTGATTGTTCTCTCTTTTTAGGGTTTCCAATTTTGGTTTCTCTCTCCGATCCAATTTCAACCCTTAAAAAGCCCTCACTGACACACCGAAAAGAAAGCTCAATCCATGAGGACGACACACTAGTATTACTCTACCACCAACTGTACATATTTATTTTTTTTTTTGTTCATTTTGTCCAGGCCATTTCCCCTCAAACCCTAGGATTTTGACCTGTTAGGGTTTTCGATTTCATTTGTTTTCGTGTTTCGTTTAGTTTCCGATCCTATTCCGGCGTAGTTTTTCTTGATTATTGAGGTTAAGATTTGGTTTCCATGTTATTGCTCTTCGTTTCGTGTAATTGAGTCGTAGATATGGATGTTTTCGGTAACGGAGCTAGAGTTCAAGTGGCATCTACGTCCGGGGATCTCAAGCGTTTTGGAGCCAATTCAACAGGTATGGTTTTTGCTTTCTTCTCGGATTCTCTCATGCAATTTCTTTTATAGCTTTATGCTGCTCTTTTGGACCTTTCTCTTGAATCCTTGTTACTTCAGATCCATTTTATTTGAACTTCTTTTTAATTGTGTGTATGAAGTCGGTGATTGAGAAATTTGAGCTCGGATGGGTGGTAGTTGTTGTGTATATAATTGTTGTCTTACAGTTGTGTTTTTGAATCTTCTGAAGGATGTGAGGATTTCGTTCTAGTCCTGTTATTGAGATGGAATATGTTAATTCTCAAGAATTAAGTAGATAACTGTTTGTTTGCGGATTATGGCAGTAGTCTGCGATGTTTCTCAATTTTCTACCTAGTAATTTTAGGTCATTTTCTTAGGAAGTCGTTATTGGTTTCATGGAGCGATTGTTGTTGTTCTATGATGTAAATGTCGTTTAGGCAATTTGTGTTCTTGCGATAGTTGCAATTTGAATTGTTGTTTTCTTTTTCTTTTGATTTCTTGAAACTTAACCGAAAGAATGGGGAGAGAACTATAGAGGTGGTTTATTTGATTCTTGTAGAAAACTCTCTATACATAATGTTCTTCAGACGTTTTATAGTCACTTTATTTCATTTATTTATGATTAGATCTGAAACATGTTCTGATCTCTAGTTTTATAATGAAGATGCAAGCAATGTGATTTAATTTTCAATGTTGCAGAAGATGCTCTGTTTGATGCATCGCAGTATGCATTTTTTGGGAAGGATGTCATGGAGGAGGTTGAATTGGGGGGATTAGAAGATGAAGAGGATGATACACTTGCTGCTGGGATTGAGGAGGAGGAGGAGTTTTTGTTTGATAAGGAGGTATCTTTTATTTCCTTTGTTCTATACAGTTATGTTCCTTTTTTCTTTAGCTGGATGCACATGTTTTCTTTTTAAAATCGTTGGTAGTTGCATGTGAACGAATAGAAGTCCAAGTTCAATCCGTGCCCTACAAGTTTCGGAAACTAAAATTTAAAATCACCCTATAGAAAAATTGGATCTCGTAAATTTTTGTTTGAAGCAGTTTTTTATTGTGTAGTTATGTATTTGAAATTCTTGCATCTGATAAGAGGGAAACTATAAAAAAGTTGGGAAAAATTTGCTAAAGAGGTCGAACCCCAAATGGCTTCCCTTGTCTATGACGTTCAAATAGCTTGTTCCCGTTTATTTCCAAGCAAATATTCTACAAGGTAGCAATAAAATCAGCTTCCCAACTCGAAAAGAGTTTGAATTATTGCCAAAGACTACACATTTGTCATGGAGCATGAAAAGTATCCCCAAGTTTGTGGATCCATTTGATCTCCTTCCCCTTTGTATCTATGATATCCCTTTGCTTGTTATTTCCCTGTTTGTACTATCTTTCTTCCAAGAGGTTTCATTTGGTGGCCTCTGTGTTACCTTCTATTGCTGCTCTCTCTCCTTCTTTTGGATTGTGCTGTCCTTCAATTCCTAGTGGTTCCTTCTTTACCGTGCTTTGGAAGGTCGAAATTCCCAAGTAGTGACAGGTCTGACAAATGTTTCATTGCAAAGTTAACACTTTGGATCATGTGTTGAGAAAGTTCTCTCGAATAGGGTCACGGTGTTGCATCCTTTATAGGAGAGCGTCTGAGGTCCTTGATCACCTTTTGTTGAGATGTCATTTTGCCTCCTTGGTTTGGGATTTTTTCATGTGGCTTGGCCTGATGTGTGCAGATCTATGCTCGAGGTGTTCTTCTTTAATCGCCCTTTTATACTTAGAGTTGTTATTTTGTGGATCTATGCTGGAAGTAATTTTTTTCAAGAGGTTGAGAGGGTCTTGGGAGGTGGTTTGGGCTCTTGTTAGGTTAATGTTTCTCTTTGGGTTCCATGGTTAATGAGTCTTATAATTATTCCTTGGGTACCATTTTTCTTAGATCGAAGCCCCCTTTTAGCCTAGGTGGTTCCTTTTGTTGATGTTTTTTTGTATTCCCGTTCTATTATTTTATTTTCCCTCAATGAAAGTTTGACTTTTCATATAAAAAAATAATTGGTTAAAATAAATCTGGATCTAGAGATGCCAATCAGCTTTCCTGTCTCTCTTACGCGGTAGATATTTTAATATTGCATTCCTTTTGGACTTATTCCCTAAAGAAAATGCATATCAGTTTTGGGTTAATCCAGACAACATAATAAGATGGGTGTGGGAATTCATGGATTTATCTCATACAATTGTAAGTTTTGAAGTTACATGTGGTAGTCTTGATGAGAAAAACTGTTGCTGACGTAATCTTGGAACTTTTATAAAGCATCGAGCAAGCTTGTCACTTTCTCCTTCTCTTATTGCACAAGTCGCATTTGAGCTACTGTGGTATTTTTTTGCTCTGTTACAAAATGTGCCGTTTTATATCAAGAACTAACTCAAATGTTTGGTAATCATTTATAATTCACAAGTGCTACATAATTGGATTTAACTAACTCCTTTCTATGGTTTGCAGAGTGAGGACTTTAGACCTCCATCTGATATTGACGATCTTGTTTCTTCTTTTGAAAGGGTTAGAAACCTTGTAGAACTCCTTTGCATGAATGACATGTTTCTATATTTTTATCTCTATTTGATTATTACTTTGTGTCCTTTCAGTTGAGCGAGGTTGGTAGCGGGCCTACGGGAGTTATTGGAGGTAGAGCATTGAGAGAAAGTAAGTTTATCCTATCAACTGTTTGTGATGCTAAAATAGTACTCAAGTAATAGTTCGTATTGAATAGTTTGCTATTGTCAAGATGGTCCAGTAACACAAAATGGCTTCATGCCGCAGACAAACATTACTTGGTTCTCTAAACTCCCTCCATCAGGGTGGGTCTAGAAAACTTCACCGTGGCAAAATTTATGTTCTATTTTTTTTATTAGCCTTTCAATTCTAAAAATTGAATTGAGAAAATTGAAAAGAACTTTAAAATCTGCAGTTCTTAATACAATTTTTATTTCAAATGTCCATTTCTTATTTTCTTCATCACGATTTAGGTGAACTTTTACTTGAGGAAAGTATTATAGACCTTTTGATAATGTTAATTTGAGCATTCGTAGCTTGGATTCTGTATGTTAATGTTGGGAATGTATTTTTAGAGGTTAGATTTTTGCCAATTTTTTCCCTTATTGTGAACTATTTTGATCCTAGTCATCTTGCGTGGAAGGAGCCAGGTGACAGATTTAGCTTTTTTCACCCCTAAATATATACTACTATTAGATTGTGTCCGACCACCCGATCAATTTAGACTCGAACCTAATCGCCCCGCTTTTGGAGATGATGGAGACCTTACTCGTCGTCTTGACCCATCCACAGTCTGCTAATCTAATCCCAACATCTTTAATCCTGACAAGCATGTTTCGAACGAGATCTTTGTCTTTTCTTTGTTACACAACACTGAATGTACAGTTCATTTGTCGGTTCATGGTTGACTGATTTCCTTCATTTTCTTTTTGTCTTTCTCATCTACTCTTCTAGGTTCGTCAGTTAATGAATGGCCACATGAGGAGGGCTTCTCCGATTGGCTTGCCCAGCAAGGCTATAATGTGGAAAGTGCTCAGGAAGGAAAAAGATGGTCATCACATCCACATTTTTCCTCTCTTGCTGAATCTACGTCTTTATATAGGACATCTTCTTACCCTGATCAGCAGCCGCAGCTGCAGCAATACCACCAACAGATCTCTAGTGAGCCAATTTCTGTCCCGAAGTCTTCACATCCTCCTATCGGAATATCTCCTCATGCTTCGCCAAACCAGCATTCAAGCCATCTAAACATGCCTTTTGTTCCTTCTGGACGCCATGTAGTATCATTATCTCCATCAAATCTCACACCACCAAACTCTCAGATTGCTGGTTTCATTTCTGGATCACGATTTGGAAATATGCCGCAATTTAACTCTGGTCTCTCTGCTAACGGTGGACCGCAGAGCCAATGCGTCAACCAAGTTGGCATGTTTCGTGGAGAACATTCCAGTCACCTAAACAATTTATTGCCTCAACAGTTACCGAATCAGAATGGATTTCCACAGTTACCACCACAGCCGCCGCAGCAGCAGCAGCATAGGTTGCAACATCCTGTTCAGCCTCCATTTGGCGGTTCTCTATCAGGTTTTCAGTCCCATCTTTTTAATTCCCATGTATCTTCAGGCCCACCTCACTTAATGAACAAGTTGGAAGCCATGCTCGGCATACCAGATATGAGGGATCAAAGGCCTAGGTCTCAGAAAGGTAGACAGAACCCTCGTTTTATCCATCAGGGTAATGAGACCAGTAGTTTTAGGAATAACTTCGGGTGGCCTTTCTGTAGATCCAAGTATATGGGAGCGGATGAATTAGAGAATATTGTTAGAATGCAGCTTGCAGCAACACACAGTAATGATCCATATGTAGATGACTACTATCATCAGGCTTGTCTTTCAAGAAAATCTGCAGGAGCAAAGTTGAGGCATCATTTTTGTCCTAATCAACTAAGGGATCTTCCACCACATGCCCGTGCCAATAATGAGCCGCATGCTTTTCTTCAGGTTGAAGCACTTGGTAGGGTTCCATTCTCATCAATTCGTAGACCTCGCCCTCTTCTTGAAGTGGATCCTCCAAGTTCGTCTGTTGGTGGAAGCTCTGATCAAAAGGTTTCTGAGAAGCCCCTTGAACAGGAGCCTATGCTAGCAGCTAGAGTTACAATCGAGGATGGTCATTGTCTGCTTCTTGACGTGGATGATATTGATCGTTTCCTGCAATGCAATCAGTTCCAAGACGGTGGTGCTCAGTTACGAAGACGTCGCCAGGTCCTGTTGGAAGGACTGGCTGCATCACTTCACATAGTTGATCCATGCAGTAAAGATGGTCACACAGTTGGGCTGGCTCCTAAAGATGATTTTGTTTTCTTGAGGTTGGTTTCTCTTCCCAAGGGTCGAAAGCTTCTCGGAAAGTACCTTCAGCTGCTCATACCAGGTGGTGAGCTCAAACAAATAGTTTGTATGGCTATTTTCCGTCACTTAAGATTCTTGTTTGGTAGTGTTCCTTCTGATCCTGGGGCAGCAGATTCTGTTAGTGAACTTGCAAGAATTGTCTCATTGCAAACCCGTAGTATGGATCTTGGAGCCCTAAGTGCATGTCTTGCGGCTGTAGTTTGCTCCTCAGAGCAACCTCCACTTCGCCCTCTAGGGTCCCCTGCTGGAGATGGGGCGTCCTTGATTTTGAAATCTGTTCTCGAGAGGGCCACGGAACTCCTAACCGACCCTCATGCTGCGAGTAACTATAACATTACTCACCGCTCTCTTTGGCAGGCTTCGTTCGATGAATTTTTCGGCCTTCTTACAAAGTATTGTGTAAACAAGTACGATAGTATCATGCAATCACTACTAAGACAATCTCCACAGAATGCAGCAGTAGCTGTCTTGGATCAAGCCACTGCCATCAGTCAAGAAATGCCAGTCGAAGTATTACGGGCAAGCCTTCCCCATACCGAAGAGTACCAAAAAAGAGTATTAATAGATTTTGCTCAACGCTCGATGTCTGTTGGTGGATCTAACAATGGGGCCGAGCACTGTGGTCGCAACAACTTCGATTCCTTATGATCAAGAGAAGTTTGGTGAATGTTGCACCTTTTTATCTATACGGTTCCAACGAAGGAGCCTTCAGAATAATCTCATCATCAAAATACATGTGGAAGAACAGAGAAAACCCTTCACTAGAGGTCTCTCTCTACTACTGCTCCCTTTAATTTTATTCTTTTTTCTGGTACGGCGGGTGAAAGGAGGGGCGTGCAAAACAAAGTACTTGCTTCTATTCTTAGAATGATTCTTCTCTTCATGTTTTTTACTATTGAAAAATTAACGCCATTGTTATGTTGGGGTTAGTTTTGATTGTTTTTTTTCTCTTCCCGGATTGGGTAGAGGAGGAGAGGTTTAGAGATAGAATACGGTGTAAGTGGTCCAGATATGAATGAGAGATATAATGTGGATGGTTGAGGGTTAAGAGTGTACAGGGTTGGTCGGTCGGTCGGTCGGTCTTTGAGACCAAGTTCCCATGGTCCTTCACTATTTATAAATACCTGAGAAGGGTGGTGGGGATGGGTATTTTAATGTTTTATAATTTACTTTTTATGATGTTATTGGTGTCTACGCCCCACACAAGAGAGACAGAGACAAGAGTCGACGGGGGTGGAGTTGGACGTTGGCTGTGTTTTTTTAGCCCTAACAAACGGGTGTGGTGGAACTATTTTCATATATATATATATATATTATTTTTTTAATAAGAAGGATGTTAAGAATAATGGAATGGGTTTTCCATATTCTTTTTGGTCATTTGTATTTACTAAATTCCTACGCTTTATTTGTCTGCTACAATGGAATTAATTAATTAAATTATTTGTATTGATTATGATGCCATGTCGATTTATAAAATATTGTTTATCTGGTCCTAATTATCAGAAGAAACACTCTAGTCTCGTAAATTTATAAAATAATTTTTAATGATATGATTTAACTAACTGAAAAAATGAATCGATTAATTAAACGCTAATGGATTGAAAAAAACATGTCAATTTACTTCATTACTTGCAAGAAAAAATTAGATGGCTTAAAATATTTCAAAATACTTTTCCTCCTCGATTTGCAAATGCTGCTTTTTCTCTCTCTTTTTTATTTTCTTATTATTATTATTTTTTTTTGCTGGGTACTTGTTATATATATATATATTTCAAAATCAAACTAAAATTTAAAAACCAAGTAATTTTTTTTAATAGTGTCAAGCCAATCAAAGCTAGGGTCTTTCTTATCCTTCTATCTCATCTGTTCCAGTAAGATAATTCATGGTGACACCAGGATCCTCACCCTCTGTACGATGTTACACTCAATCCACTGCATCATCATACAAGAGGCACATAATATCTAATAAGGTCATGAATTTCTAATTTTAAAATCCCAAATTAGAGTTTGATTGGACACAAAATTCACTTTCTTTAACCTAATAGGCAGAGTCTTAAAAAATATTGAATAGATTAGGGCACAAAAAAGGCAGAATTATTCAAAAGCCTTTACACAATTTTTTAGGACTAAACTGGAAATTTAACCTATAGATTTAAGATTGGAAAGCTAACCAGCTCTTGGTTATTGGAATCACTGATAGTACTCAATTTTAGAACATCACCTATTGGATTATGGGTAGTAGCATATTTATTATCCACAACCTTATATAGGCTCTTTAGTACCACTTATTAGAGTAGACACAAAAGATCATTATTTGGAAGAAAAAAATGCATTCTTTATGATTCAAATTGAAAAATAAACCTACAGACCTGGCCAACAGTGTCACCCACTCTTGTTTATCATGTAAATTCAAGTATGGATCAACTTGACCCACCGAAAAAGAATATCACTATCTAGGAGTGAAGGATTAGAGTGCATAAAAGAAGGCATTATAGGTTCTTACTCGGTTGGGGAAAAGAACGAAGCATTCTTTATAAAGGTATGAAAATCTCTCCCCAATTGACGCATTTTCAAACTCTCGAGGGAAAGTCCAAAGAGGAAAATATTTGTTACCGGTGTGTTTGGTATGTTACAAATGGTATTAGAATCAAACATCAAAGAATGTGTCAGCGAGGAGCCTGAACCCCAAAGGGGGTGGACACGAGGCGGTGTGCCAACAAGGACATTGCGCCCCGAAGGAGAGTGGATTGGGGGGTCTCACATCGATTGAAGAAGGAAACGAGTGCCAGCGAGAACGCTGGACCCCGAAGGTGGATGAATTGTGAGATCCCACGTCGGTTGGGGAGAAGAACGAAACATTCTTTATAAAGATGTGGAAACCTCTCCCTAGTAGACAAATTTTAAAACTATTTGAAGGTCGTTTTAGCCTATATTCTTATAGGGCTCAATAAAATGTACTGTCTCAGTCCCAATTATCTAACACAGTTGCCAGAGGCAAAGGCAGATAGATATGCGAATAAAGTAATCATTGATGGGATAGACATAGAAAGCATGTAGAAATCTAAAAAGAGACTCACAAGTCATTTCACGTAGTGCAGCACGACTGGAATTCCACAAAAGCCGAAGGATATTCCTTCACAACCGTTCTATCCATAGCAAAGTAAAATTCTCGTCTGTAGTTAGAATGTTGAAAGCCTATATATCCTGAAGAAACTCGAATGTAAAACGGAGAAGAAAACAATGAACTAAAAGGATTCAAGAGAACAAGTGAATGACCTCATCAAATGACAAACAAAAAGTGCTCGATCGGAGACGATGTTCGAGCTCTGGTTCCCTCATTGATTGGTAATGCTAAATGTGTATAATGTATTTGTTGAAATCAGACTGAAGTTATTGTGTATAATGTATACAATACAAGGTAGGCCATACTTGTATTATCTGACATAAACATCAAAATCAAAATTTAGGAGATCAGCATTGCAACAGTATGTATTTATATTTCTGAACATTCAAAGAAACTATAAAGAGAGAGAGAGAGAATAACTGTCTACGTACTTCATTTGTCACACATCAAGCACGGCTCCGTAAGCAGTTTGACAAGAGACTAGCTGAAAGCTGTAAATACTTCCAAGTACCAAACTGATCGATCCTCGTTTCAACCACGAAGTACAGGGTAGTTGAGGCAAAGAAGCAAGGGATACGACCGGTTACAATTGTTGTAATGCATCGCAACATTGTCTTCATTTACAATCAGATTATTACGACAACATAACTACAAGAGATCTCTCTGGCATAACTATTTTCAATGCTGACTATGTAAACACTTTCCATGACGTTGCACCTCGATTTCCATGAATTATCTATTTACCAGGAACAAGCACTGAGCAGATTCCTTACCAATGCCAACATTGTCTCATATGGTTTCCTGTACGAGAAATCTTTAAGAATGGTGACGTGGCAACATAAGAAGTCTGAACTTAAACGTGATTCGTGTTCGATACAGCAAAGATAAAACTAATGAGAAATTAGACTGCTTATGTTAGGGAAATGAAGAGCTCAACTTACATCCCATATGAACGAGACTAGTGAACTTGTGTATGGAAACTAGCATTAAATATAAGAGATATTTCAGCTTACCTATAATGTTGGGCATGAGATTATGAGGCCTTTTCTACCCAGATTATGAATCCTTATGCGACAGATCCGTAATGGTGTTTAACAACCCAGAAAACTAGTTACCCTCTTGAGAAAGTCGAACAGATGCAGCACGTACCATACTCAGGAGCCTTTCATCTAGTGTTTCAAGATCACCACAATTACGAAGTTGAGAATATAATGGAGCAATATAATCTGCAGCAATTTCAGCCAACTTCCACAAAGAGAAATCTCCAGCCATTCGAAGTACTTTGACCCACAAATGATGGGCAATATCTAGACAAACTACAATTATATGCAAGCACACTTCCTGAAGATCTTCCAGAAACCAGAACTCAGCCAACCAACAAAGCTCTACATATGATTGGAGCTCATTCAACTTCTCTTGGTCATCCATATTATACCACAGACACCCACATGGAGGATCTGGCAGCTTGTCTGAGTAGAACCACTCCACCAGTTTAACCATTGCCTCCCAACTAACTGGAACCTTAATTATTTCTGAGTGGCTGTCAGGAAAAGAGAAAAAAGGGAAAAGGACTAAACCTTTAACTGTGGACTACAATAATGGCAAATAAAATCAGAACTGCTTTCAGAAGAAATTTCAAAGGAAGTTCAACCATTTCTACTCAGAAACAACGAATTCACCTCCATCAAATTCTTTTAATGTGAAAAGTTTTAAGCTTGATTTATGTAACAAAAAAGTAAAAGAGAAGGCCATCATAAAGTATTTGAGAAAAAAAGTAATTTATGTATAAATATTGATCGCACTGTGATCTGATGGCAATGAAAAGTTAACAATCACGCAGTCTTTTCATCAATGTATTGACATAGTTCATTTTTCCACACTACACTACAACAGATCTCTTACAATCCAATAAATGCAAATAATATCTTATTTTCATCCTTAAATTGAGAACAAAAGTGAATTGACAAAATAATATTACTAATAAAAGAACAGCGTATCAAACAAACTCTGTAACTTTTTATGTTCTGTTCACTACATTGTAAATCACATAATAGTCCTTTTCTATGGTTGTGTATTGATATAATAAATGCAATGATAAAATACCTTTCTTTCATTCCCGATTGTAACAAGGCTCTTAGATAGTCACAGCTTAACCACAAAATTACTTTATGAACATGCATATGTGGCAAAGATGAAGCACAAACGTCGCATTTCCAACTAGTCTGCTTAGTTGCTGTTGCCTCCAAGGTGATGTCTCTGAAAACCAAACAAAATTGGTCATAGAATCTTTTACAGAAAAGATAGTTACATGGAGGAAGGAAATTAAAATATGTTCCCTACAAGAAAATTACACTGCCCAACAACAAGACCAATTGAATGGCTTTGACCTAAATCAGAAAATGTAATAAAAGATCTTCTGCTGGATAATGTGAATGGTAGAAAAAACACATGCTTAATAACATATACTACCCGTTACATTTTTCAGTAGAGAAATTTAATTCTCAGAAGTGAATTTATAAACACAAGGTTAAAGATTCAAAATGATTTAGTGGCCAACATATGAAAATATGTTCATTTGTATGATGATGAAAATGATTGTCTATCAGAAATCAATTACTCAAAGAAAAAGAATTTATTTTCACAAAATATATGCTTCTTAAATGAAACTTGGTCTAGTAGAAGAAAACCAAGAGAAACCTACGAGAAAGGATATCCAGCTGGACCAAGAGCCGCCACAAGATTGAAGTTGGGGAAAGGTGCCCCCCACTTCGGCCTTCTTCTACAAAGTAAATGAAACAGAGTCTGAATTCTACAACGTTTAGCAAGACTTCTCAACTTTTTTGTAAGTTCCTCTCCAGTTTGGAGATGTCCCTTGTAGACATACTCAAGTAACTTCTCCATTGCATCGTTGTCAACGTGTGAAGATAAACAAACCTCTTTCTGAATCTTTCCAGATGAGTTCTTGTCTGAGGAGAATGAAAAATTAGGAATTTTCTCAATGACAGGTGGCCAGTTAGGAGGCAGCAGTGATGCACACCGAGCTGCAAGAATCACACCATGGGCATTTAGACACTTCCCATTTGTATGGATGAAACGAATGTCTGAATAGTCAGTCCCATCAAGTGCTCTGCCAATCCTGTTCCCAAGTTTACTAGGAAACCCATACAATCCCAATAAACTAAGGACATATGCAGCATACCACTTTAGTCCCGGAGAGTAACTACCACTGCAGATATCCTGAAGTTGGCTTATTAACTCATCTTCAGCAAATCCAACTAATAAAGAAGATGTTTCTCTTTCATTTGTCAAGGGGCGCAATTGTAAAATTAACTCAGCCAGGCCCACCAAACTATATAAAAGTAGGATATCTCTTCCCTCCCATTCTTTGTTAGGGCCCTGACAGCAAGCTCTCTCATGAAAATTAAAAAGCAAATGTGGAGAATAGCTCAGCCTATCTAAATGGACTTCATTACTCAAGCACCACTTAACAAAGGAGACTATTGCCTTCATGCCTTCTGCATTCTTGTCCCACACTGTATACTGTGGCAGACCTACACAACATACTAAACTTAACAAGTTCACGACTATTAGAATATTTGGCATACCAGAAATTGTCCCAAATGAGATGCCCGTCAGTGTATGCCGGACGTCCTTCAAATATGACTTAATATTCGGCTCTAGCATCGTTGTTAACATAGACATCGTCGTTGATGCAATATAATTGGAAGGAGAATAAATCATCATCATAATAGCTCTCAATAATGATTCATTTTTTGAGGCATTTACAACATCACTTTGACAGATTTGACGCCAACCCATAAATAATTCAGCAAATGCCAAACTGTCGATAAAACATTTTTAAAACATGAGTCTATAATGAAAGAAAAACATCGTGAAAGGATTAGGCATAATAAAGTAGAACTCCACATGTACTGAGTAATGGTAATACCAGGCACATGATAGAAGCATGTCAATTAGGGGTCTGTTTGAACTTTTGTTCAGGTAGACAGCATCATTGAAGTTTGTTGCAAGCGAACCAAGAATTTCCCAGATATAAACCCTCAATCCAGGAAAATAATTTGACTTAAGACTCTCCCGAGCAACGTTTATCTGGTCTTCCAACGACAAAGTAGATTCATATAGTTGTTTGGGACACTTTCCAAGTAAAAGATGAAGGAGAGCTCTGTCAATTCCATGTTTCCAAAAATAATTGTGATGTTGGCCAGCCCAACGAGTGATTAAGGCCAAGCGACTGGCCTCCTCAAGCAGCCATATCTGATTATTGGTAACTGTTGCAGGTTGTAAACTACATTCAGTCATTGCGCTTAATATGGCACTGACAATTGGTTCACAAAATGAACTCATCCTTTCCAAACCGGTCTCCTCATTTATCTGAGCAAGAATGTCACAAAATAAATTTTAAGCAGAGAACATGTATTCATTCAAAACAGTGTCTATAATGAACATGTTAACAGTTCTTAGTTCTAACCACTAAACATTGTGCAAGTCTAAATGCTTCAATCCTAACATGATGAGGGCGTGAGCTGGCCATGCATTCCACCATTTCTTGCAGAATTGCTTCTCCACGCTCTAAAAGCTTCTGTGCACCAATACCACATAGAGCTGCAAAGGAAATTGACAAATTTTTCTCAATTACCGATCCACAAACTCAATGTATGAAAATTCCCCCTTATTCATTACCTATTGCAGAGTACAACTTCAAAACTTCAGCTCTAACTGAAAAGTCTGGCTTGGCATACATATCATACAAACCTTCCATCAATTTTGCATCACTCCAAACTGGAAACCTAGAGAGAGGCCACCTAGAGAGTATTATACTCAAAAGAGAAAAAAGAGGTTGAATATATTCAACTGGGTTCATAGCTCCAGAAAAGTCTTTAATTGTGCCAATCAAGTGAAGAACAACTTCTGTCTTTTTTAAAATCTCCCAAAGTGCGTCCTCACTTTTACTCGGTACATTTGAAAGAATCAAATTCAATGCTGTAGCACATGCTGCAGATGTTTGTATTTGACGAGCAGGTAGCAAACATGAAAGAGCATGAGAAAGGTCCAAAATGAAAGGTTTTAACAGTGCATTTGGTATAGCACTGAACAGCTTTATAGCAACATCAGCTGCTATGCTTGACACTGCCCCATTCTTGTCTTCAAGAATCCACACCAAAGAATAAACAATATCAGGTATAGAATCCTGAAAGAAATGGAAGGGATGACAGTAACTATCTGATAACAAAATTATTAAAAAAAAAAAAAAAAGAAAGAAGATCCAGACATGTAGTAAATGAAAACTTTCCAACAGTAGGTAGCCACCTACATAAAGTGACTTCAACTTAAGAACACAATGCATAAGAAGACACAAGGACAGTCACAGAATTTAACGACTTATTAAGTTCTATGCAAAACACGCTTAAAATTAACCAGAAGCATGAGAGAGAGAAAAAAAAAAAAGGAAGAAAAGAACCATTCTCGTTTCTTTTCCACTGTGTAACTATCAATATTTATTCTTTTTATTTTATTATGTCCACATTCCTCCTATGATGACTTACCGACCCCCCTATAAAAAAAATAGTAAAAAAATAAAATAAATAAAATTTCTCCAATTTAGTAGTGAGATATCAATGCTTATGGAGAAAAAGGTCGTCATTTCGATATGTCCAATTCCAATCCAAAACCTTCACTGTTAACGGATAGTGCAATTCCAGAGAAAAAAAAAATCAGGAAGTATGACTCTAAACAACTATAAAAAGAAAACGGAATGAACAATTGAACTTGATTGGATTTCCAAAATCTAAAAGACAATACTAAGTGCGATACCTTCACGAGGTGATGGTAGCATAACTCCCTGGGAACAGATTCAAGAAATGCTGCAATGGAACGAACAACATGTCTCTGTACCTCATTATCCGAGCACATCCATTTTCTCTTGTTTTGTTCATTAAACCTGACTTGGAAAACAACAATTCCGCGATTATGGCGTAGATAAACTAGTCTCGTAAATAAATAGAGCGTGAATAGAAACATTGCTCATCAAGTGAGTAAATTACAACATCTACAAATTCTCGGAAACAATTAAAAACGTTTGAGCACCTAAACGAACCACACAACATAGTGTTTCAAGGTTTCGACATCTTTTCTTGAATTGTTTTAAAGCGACCTTCGAGAAGAGATAGCCGATAGGGGAAATAATAACTATACGAGATAGGCAAACCTCAAAGATATTATCGCAACCGACTTACAAAACAAACTAAATCAACTTTCTGAACCAGAGCAGGATCAAACTTCCAAGAAAACTCAAAAGAAAAGTTCAATTAGTTAATTATAGTGCAAACAAACAAGCACGTCGACATGCTCCGCAGAACAATAATAGAAAAACATACAAAAAAGTGCATCAAATTACAGCGAGTGAGTTCGACACTGAAGAAGACTGAAACTGACCTGGTACCGAGATTGAGAGCGTCGTGAAGACGGCGATGGAGAGTGTGGATGTGGCTGGTAGATTCGACTCGTCCACCGCCTCTGGAGGATCTCATCTCGAATGGCAATCGAATTTGTCAGTTTTCTATAAGGCGAAAGAGAGACATTAGAAGTGGACAGAGTTTGAGCAGATCATTGAAGTAGGAGAACCGCCTTGAAGCTTATTGTACGCAATTCGAAGTACTTCTAAAAAAAAAGTACTTTCGCTCGCATTCTCAGCTCTCAGCTTTCTCTCGCTCTCTCTCGCTCTTTCTCTCTCGCTGTTTCGGTGATCAAAGGGACGAATGGCCAGAAATGGAAACTATTTATAAGGAACTAAAAGCATTGACCTTCTTATCTTTTCTGCAAAAATTAAAATGGTTTAAATTATTTTTGTTTAACTTAAAATCACCCAAAAATATATTTTTATATTAATTTTATTAATAATTTAAAATTAATATCATTGTATCGAAATTAATTTTATTTTTACAAATATTCACTAAAACACATAATTTTTAGGATTAATGTTCATTTTTAAAAGTAATTTTAAGATCATTAAAATACTAAATCAGAAATTACATTTAAGAAAAAAAAATAATAAATAAAGAGCGGTAAAGCAAAAGTTATGAGATAGGACAATTTTTGGAGGGAAATACAAATTTAAGAGAAACAAAAATAGAGGAAATTGTAATTCTGGGGTGAAAATTTAGAGATGAGTGAGATATAATAAAAAAAATTACTGAAATTTTTTATTATTTAAAAATAATGAATATTCCAATAAAACTTTTTTTAGTGTTTAACTTCCAATTAAAAAATGTAAAAAAAAAAAAAAAAAAAAAATCTAAAATATTATTCACAAATAAATTATATTATAATATTCTACCCCTCATAATTTATAAATAATCAAAATTTAATATTACAAAAAGAAAATTCAATATAATTTTAATTTAAATATTGTACCATAGTCTCAAACTATTTATAAAGTATAATTGATGGCAAAATTTATGAAAATATAACGGTAAAAACAAAGAAAAAAAAAGAAAATTGATTTATTATAATTTTGTAATTTAAAAAAAAATAGAAAATATATATAGAAAAATCTCTCACCAAGGTGGGCCCCACATCCGCGTGGTGAATGAACATTAGACAACAAGACAAAGGACCCCACGGAATCGCCAAGGAAAGCGCGTGTTCCTCACTCCATGAAAACCCGCGTGGGCATCAGAGGCTAAAAACTTGGATAACGAGATGTGGAGGGGACTGGTGTAGAGAGGAGCCAAGTCACTCAAACGAAAGCTTCATAAAGGAAAAAATGGGATTACCTAAACAGAGAGATTTCATTTCAGCTCTTCAAGATTCAACGCTTTTTGGAGCCGAAGAGAAGAATCCGCTCGATCGATTTCTCATTCCAGTGTATGTTCATGATTTCTTCCACTTATTTCCCTTCGGCAAACAAATTTCACTTGGAAATCTCAGAAAAAATGGCCCGAATCTCATACTTTCAATCTCTGCATATCTTTTCGTTTGATCCGTACTGAACAATTCTGCATTATTCCGAGTTTTTGATGATTGAAGAAGCACCGATTCTTAGAATATGATATTGATTTCACATTCCAGTGTATGTTCACGATTCCTTTCACCTATTTCCATTCTGCAAACAAATTTCACTTGGAAATCTCCGAAAACGACCTGAATTTCATACTTCCAGTCTCTGCATATATTTTCATTTGATCCGTACTAAACAATCCTGCATTATACCGAGTTTTAGATCATTGAAGAAGCACCGATTCTTAGAACATGATATTGATTCCAGGTTTCTGATTCTGATTCTAAATGCCAAAAAGAGAGCGATTACTGTAAAGAAGTAGAGGAGTTTACAGAGTTTCTTTCAGCAGCGACTCATCCGTAACCACAAGAACAGAATGTGGGCTCTCTCTCCATATCCAAATCTCTCACTTAATAAAGGATTTTCTAAAGTTTCCGCATCAGCTCAGATTACAATTTCGCCTAAGGACACAATTTTCCCACTGCCAAATTGGAGGATAGGGAAAGGCGATCAAAAGAGTAGAGAGCTTAGACTAAACGATGCTTTTTTTCACCTAGAGTTCATGATTGAGAATGGCCAAAAGCCTGATGAATTCCACGCAACTCGGTTACTGTATGATCTCTGCAAGGCATGTAAGATGAAGAAGGCTGTGAAGGTAATGGAGATGACAATTGGGTCTGGAATCATTCCAGATGCGTCTTCCTATACCTTTTTGGTAAGTTCTTTGTGTAAAAAAGGGAATGTTGGTTATGCAATGCAATTAGTGGAGAAAATGGAGGAATATGGGTATCCTACCAACACTGTTACTTATAATTCACTTGTGAGAGGGCTTTGTATGCATGGAAATTTGAGTAAGAGCTTGCAGCTTTTAGACAGGTTGATCCAGAAGGGGCTTGTCCCTGATGCTTATACATACTCTTTTTTGCTTGAAGCTGCTTACAAGGAGAGAGGAGCTGATGAAGCCATTAAGCTTTTGGAGGAGATAATTGCAAAGGGTGGGGAGGCTAATTTGGTTAGCTATAATGTTTTGTTAACTGGGTTGTGTAAAGAAGGTAGGATAGGAGATGCCATTCAGTTGTTTAGGGAGTTGCCTTCACAAGGATTCAGTCCAAATGTTGTTAGTTATAATATTTTGTTAAGGAGTTTGTGTTATGAAGGGAGGTGGGACGAGGCAAATGTGCTTCTAGCTGAAATGGACAGTGATGGCGATGATCGTTCCCCGTCGAACGTCACGTACAATATATTGATTGGTTCGCTTAGTCTCCATGGAAGAATAGGACATGCTCTTGAGGTTTTGGAAGAGATGATTCGGGCAGGGTTCAAGCCGATGGCTTCGAGTTATAACCCGATAATCGCTCGTCTTTGCAAAGATAGGAAAGTGGATGTTGTTGTGAAATGTTTGGATGAAATGATGCATAGGCATTGTAATCCCAATGAAGGAACATACAATGCGATTGCTACACTTTGTGAGGAGGGAATGGTTCAAGAAGCATTCTCCATCATACAGAGTTTGGGCAACAAGCAACATTCCTCTACTCAAGAATTCTATAAATTCGTTATTACGAGCTTGTGTCGAAAAGGAAACACATATCCAGCGTTTCAGCTTCTCTACGAAATGACAAAGTACGGGTTTACACCCGACTCGTTTACCTATTCGTCTTTGATCCGGGGGTTATGTATGGAGGGTATGCTGAATGAGGCAATTGAAATATTCAGTGTAATGGAGGAAAATAACTACAAGCCTAGAACTGAAAATTACAATTCACTCATTCTTGGTTGCTGCAAATCTCGGAGAACCGATTTGGCCTTCGAGGTTTTCGAAATCATGGTCGATAAAGGGCATCTGCCAAATGAAACAACGTACACCATTCTTGTGGAAGGGATCATCCAAGAGAAAGAGATAGATCTTGGAACCAAAGTACTGAGGGAGCTGCAACTCAGGGATGTAATAAGTCAAAGCACAGTGGAAAGACTTGTTATGCAGTATTACCTAAAGGAATTACCATTAAGATAATTCGGTTGACCGTTCATCAAGAACAGGACGTAAACGCTGTTGGTATGTACATTATTTACAACTATGTACATGTTTTTAGTTCACAAGGCTTCGTATATGTGCATAGCTAATTGCTTGTTTTGCCCATGTGGGCAATATCATTCTTACAGAACTAATGGCAGTTGAAAGAAATCCCTAATGAAGATTACTATTCGATTATGTTTTTAATAGATCTTCAATTTCAAAAATACTTTAAATTTGAAGATCTATTAGACTAATATTGAATAAACTTAAAAATCTATTAAACATTAAACACAATTTTTTTAACTTATAAAAAAAGGGTATTTCGAGAACTGGTTCAAAATCAAAAACCTATTTGGATAGGTCGGTTCTAGAATCCTAAAACATCGAGGGAATGGAGAAATTAAACCTTCTACTTTGAAGACCCGGAGCAACCATCATCCTAAGATTTCTCTCCAGCCCCAAACTTATCATCCGAATGAAGTGAATGAAGTTTAAAGACCTCTAACTTATTTTGACCAGTTGAGCTAGAACTTCTATTCGAGCTCAAGTAAGGTTTACAATAAGCTAGTTGATAATATATATTTCGACCTTAACATAATATATATTTCAACCCGTTGCGCTAGAACTTCTACTCTTGCTAGATTACGGTCTACTATATTCTACTAGCCTCGACTCTTCTTAACTTATTCCATGTAATGATTTTCGACCCAAAATTACTGAATGTTAAAAAGGAAGGATTAGGAAATCACGTCCTTGACTGCAAGTAAAATATTCAGCATGTACCAACCAATAAGCTAAGAAGACCACATAAATTGATATTCAGTCTGAACAAACTGGATCTTAAAAGGAAAGCAAGTCAAACCATATAAGTTTATGCAAAGTAATAAAAACCACAGGAAATGGTGCAAAACTATCTTCAGAAGAACACTACAATCCCCACGACTTCAAGCACCTAATGCTAGACAGCAATGGAGAAAATAGGCACTCTAAGGAGAAAGCTCGATCATTTTCCAGATATCTGCAACTACTTCGACCTCTGTCTCATCTTTCTGCGCTTTCTCTTGAGCCTCCTCATACGCTTCTTCTTCCACTGGCATTCAGAACCCCCCCAATAATTCAAAACCAAAAGAAGAGAACGAAGAATCAAATAAATAAGAATTCAGAACCAAAAAAGAGTATGATGAGAATAATGCTATTCCGATATAAACTTCAAATTGAAAGCAGAAAGAAAAATCGATATAAACCTGTTAAGAATTTGAAAAACTATGGTTTTCAAATACTGGTGCTTGAAGTATGAGAAAAGAACATATGACCAACCATTATTCATCAGAAGCGTATTATAAATTTAAGTACACGTCAAAAACAAGAGAAAAAACATCAAAACCATTTTCACTTCACAATCCGAGTGATTGAATATCAAACCTACACCGATAATAAACCCACAGTTGAGAGAAACAACAATTAAGTAGATTTTGGTTCAGAATTAAGTAGAAACAAAAACAATCACGAAGATACATAACATCACATTGCTAGACCTAGAAGTGTGAAGGCATGTTTTACGCCAATATGCCAAAAATAATAGCAGAAAACCCTAAACACATTTTCAAAATCACAAAACCTAAGAACCTTAACGTGTAGTTAATCAGTTTTGATTCGTGAGGAGATAAGAAACGACCACGGTCGAATCATGAGACCGGAAAAAACTAGAGCATACTTTCGTCTCCGATCGCGCCAAAAATACATCTCAATATCTAAATCCTCAAAGCATACACATAACATCGAGAAAAATTGCAAGATTGGGAAAAAGTTCCGAGAACGAAGCCGCTTAAACCTATTGCAATTAACATAGGATGAGAAAATTTTGGAAGAAGAACCTTAGCTCTCATTGTCGATGGCGAACGAGCTTTGCCTCAGAAGAACAATGGCCGAAGTTCGATCCTTCAGCCTCTCTCGACGAGAGTGTGAACCGAACATTCTGTCAGGCGCCTTCTCTTTTATAGTGGATATCAGAACCCTAAACCGTACTATTGAGTGTTGATCGAGTCATAACTCAGAAGGTTATTTTAGTCTTTAAAATTAGAAACAAATAATATTCATTCCAAGTTAAGTTGATGTTTAATAATAGTTTCTTATCAAATTTAAAATTCTTAAAAATTAATTTATATATTATATATAAATTTAACTTTAAATTTTTTATTTTCTTATATTTATGAGTATTTGAATTAACTATTGTATAACTCCACTATTTTAATAAACAATATAATAAACTAAAATTATGCTACATATTCTCAACATCAACCCAAATTATTTTTTCCTTAAAATAAAATTCTAGTTTTTTAATTTTTATTTTTTTTAAATGACGAAAAATCATAATAATAGATCCATTTTGTTCAACTTATACGAAACTCCTATTCCAATCACGGGAGAACCACCAATTTGAGAACGAAAACTCTTCTCACAAGTCAAAGCATCCATCAGACGAGCAAAAATTTCTCAATCCTAGAGTCATCAATATATTATTTGTCACGTCAACACAATAATATGAACAAGCATGTATGCATGAAAGTACATGTTGAGGATTGTTGGTAAAGAGCGTTTTGTTCTTCTCCCCTGCCAATGTGGGACAGACAGAATGATGTGCATGCTAGAAACTAAAACAAAAGCAAAATGTTAATAGTAACATCAAAAACTCCTCTCACGAGTCGGAAATAGATAAATTGTGCAAGTTGTATGTGTGTGTACATAGACCGAGGGAGAAAATTTCAATACTATTGTAGGGTGATGTACTAGTTCGATTTGTTGCCCGTCACGTTAACATCGTTAAAAGATAAGCAAAATAAAATTGATAGTGCGGACGAAAGAGTATTTATACATATATGTGTACTAAAAATTTTCCTGAGAGAGTGAGGGAGCCATAGCTCTTAACTTACAAATGGAAAAATTACCCAGGTTGTACATTCAAAATTGATTGTTCATAAACACAGCCTTTCTACCGCAGTATTTTCAGTGAAGAGAGAAAAGGGACGTTAGAGTACGTACAATCTTCAACCATGTTGAGTTTGCGAGCAACTTTGAGAGGAAAGAGTATCTGTACACAACAAGGAATATTTGAGTGACAATGAGACAAGGCTCGAAGCTAGCTTGCGCGCACCTCGACTGATCTCACGTGACAAAAAATAGTTAATATTTCAACGTATAGTGCAAAAAGAATCAGCCAAATGAGCTACAAAATGAATGCCTACGACTGGCAATCAGAAAATAAACATTTAATCTATAGACCTTTCACGAGGATCCAAATTATGAGACAGAAATCTGGAGGAGTCTTTTATTCTGTGGTAATAGTGAAAACCGAGCAAGTAATTTCTCAGCATATGAATGCTATAATTTATACCACTGATTGATGCAGACTACATGATGAGATGGGAAGGGAAGGGAAGGGATACCAATCAAAGATTTGAAACCGAGTTTTCAGTGAAATCAGGTTCCGGAGCGAAGAGGTACAAGCCATCAAAACACAAGGAACTGATTCTAGTATAGTATATATATATCTTAAATAGTACACTTGGATCTTAGTATCTAGTAGATATGCTTCCTTAGGAGTTGTTCAAAAATTTTACTTCATTCTTTTTTTCATACAATAAATTTGAGTATAATGAACGTTGGGGCATGAACATTTGAACATCTAATCTTAAAGGAAGAAGTACCCAGTAATTTCCACTAGAAGGTAGAAAACATTACATATAAATGCAAAAAGATGAGAAATTCGCTCAAAGCTTCAAACAAATTACCAATGTCTTAAATAGTACCCTTGGACTTTTGTGTTGGATGAAAGTGTCCCACATTGGTTAATTTAGAGAATGGTCATGAGTTTATAATCTAAGAATACACTCTCCCTTAGTATGAGGCCTTTTGGGAAAACCCAAAGCAAAGCCATGAGAGCTTATGCTCAAAGTGGACAATATCATACCATTGTGGAGAGTCGTGTTCGTCTAACACTTTGGACCTTTGGACCTTAGTATCTAAGTATCTAGTAGATAAGCTTCCTTAGGAGTAGTTCAAAAATTTTACTTCGTTCTTTTTTTTCGTATAATAAACGTTGAGGCATGAAGACTTGAACCTCTAATCTTAAAGGAAGAAGTACCAAGTAATTTCCATCGAAGGAGAAGGTAAAGAACATGACATATAAACTTACTTCAGTTATTATGGTAAAAAAGATGAGAAATTCGCTCAAAGCTTCAAACAAAATTACCAATGTCTACAACCCGGGATGAAGTCATGTGAAATTTCAACATCCTACATTATAGATATTTAAATGCTAGAAAATTAAAGGAAATTCAAGTTAAAAAGTATATTTTATAAAAGGCCCAAAACAAAAAAGAATTCAAGTGTCAAAATTGAAACTACCATATGTCCCATGGCATTGCCAGAAGTAAGCTCAAACATTCAGAAAGCAAAACAAAATCATGATTTACGGCATAAGAAGCATGGTTATAACGAATCATGAAACTAATATTTGCACACTCAACAGATATTTAGCCTAAACTTCAACAGAGAAACATGCCTTCTTACAAAATTGTTACATTAAGAACACGTCCAATTACATATGTATTTAAAAAAATCATATGATATTTTGATTAATAAACACTGTGAAGGAAGAACTGAGGTTTTGCAATGAATATCTCAATTCCATCTTTCCATTCAAGAATAAAAGATCCTTGTTGGTACGTTTAAAATCATCATTAAAAAATTTCTTGTTCCACATGTTAATGTGAAGGTTCAAAATCTTCCATAAGAAGGAACAACTGAGGTTTCCCAATAAATACTAGCCCAATTTGAGTTCATCATATGTAAATCAATACACAGAATAATACAGGGAATGCCAGGAAAAACAAAGGGCAACTCAAAAACTTCATCGATCCACAATCTCATCACTTGTATGTCGAATGAATTAAAAACAGAAAATGATTATGATAAAATGGAGAGAATAAAAAAACAAATAGTCATTATCATACGTATGTGTTTTTTTGGAAACGAGAAATGGGAACATTATTAAACAACCTTGACAGCCAATGATATTATCCAATAAATTTCCATTAAATTAAAAGCCATAAAAGATAATAAAATTGAGGCCATTGAAGAGAGAAGCAAATCACCTGGTCGATTGCCCATCGAGATTGCCCGATCTATGTTATCTAATCTTCGTTGTATGGATCTTAAGATGGAATTTAGTGACAAAACTCTCTTTCTTACACTTGAAATCCTCGAGGCATGCTGCATGATGAATGGAAAAGGTGCATCTTCAAGTAACTGATCCAGTTCTGTGAAGGTTGAAGTAATAACTTTTCACAACATTGAAAAGGCCATGAAATTCAAAAGTTAAATTTTTGCATCCAGGACAAGAAAAAAGGTAAATTATGAGAGAATGTCATTTATAATGTAAAACCTAGCAAGTGACAGAATCTTCGAAGCTATATTGCTATAATATAATTAGTCAAAGTAGTACAAGAAAGCAACTCTATTTTATAGGAAAAAGCTAATAACGCTAGCAGATATTGTCCTCTTTGGGCTTTTCCTTATGGGCTTCCCTCTCAAGGTTTTTACAACGCATTTGCTAGGGAGAGGTTTCCACACCTTTAGAATGTTTCGTTTCCCTCTCCAACCGATGTGGGATCTCACAAAAACAAAGTAAGAGTAATTCTACCTGTAGTGATACGATCAAGGGAAGATGAAAGCTGGCTTTGGCTTTTAAGAGTATCATCAGCTTTGGAATCAAAATCCCTTATGATGTTGATAAGCATGGAAGAAAGCCCATTTGCTAGAGCATTAGAGTTTTCCAAATTCGTGTTTGCAAGATCATTTTCTTCCTTGAGATTGCCATTTCGACTAATGGAAGTCTCCAATTCGACAGAGAAGCTGCTGTCCTCATTGGCAGGATCGTCGAGTACTTTCTCCGGACTGTGCATCTCAGCCAATATCTGAAACAGATCGCCTATTTCGTTGTCACAATCGTAATCGCCCATCTTTCTCCGAACACATAAGGTTCGATAGTGACCAGCATAATATAGAACCAATTATAACATCCATAATGTGCGGCAAAAAACAACAAAATGAAAATAGTTTCCACAATTTCAACATGTAATGAGTTTGCCATCAACGAGAGAAAAATCAAAACTAATAGCTACTAAGAATAAATCCCGGGGGTCGACTGTCCGGAGCAAAATTTTAAGCAAAACACGAGAACAAGAAATTTCCATGAAATTAAGCTCGCAACTACCGCAATTATTCGGAAATAATCATACAGATTCAATTGCAAATTCTTGAATACCAGAACAGAATATAGTTAATGCGCAGCAACTGACAACTATATCTGCTATACTTCTCTAAAAAAATTATCTACAAACCAACGAAATGAACATCCAGATGAATGCAAGAAACTGATAATAGTATAAGATCACTGGAAGAAGAACAGTCAACGAAAGGATTGGAACAAAAAGCACAGCGCATGACTAGCGAAACGCTAATTTTCTGGAATTTTTGAACAAGGATCACTCGACGCATCTAGGTTGGAACTCCGCAATAAGCAAAAGTTTCCTCGAGATTAGCTTCCATTCATACTAAAAAATCAAGCAATACGAGCATGGAATGATAATCGAATTCCATAGATAAATTGAAGTAAAACGGGACATCACCACCTACCGTAGTTCGCAGTCTCTCTAAACTTCGTGCTTCGAATCCAAAAGAATCCGCTAACTGGTTCGACGTCGCCGGCGCAATCGTGCGAGATAGGAATCAGAGAGAAGAATTTCTAGCCCAATTCCGAAAAGAATCTGAGTAACAATGTGTCAAGGTATTTTCCCCCTAAATTATACTAATTTTTATTCTTTTATCTTCCAATTTTATCTAAATTACACTCCAAATTCAAATTACAATTAATGGTCACCATCTTAATTGTAGGTTTTTACTCTCTAATAAATTGTTGCTAAAAATATTGTTAAAAAAAAGTATATTATAGTTCAATTAATTATAAATATATATAAGAAACCAATAAAATTCAGAGTTTTTTTTTTTTTTTTTTTTTT